GATTTATTGATTCCCTTTTTACAGAAGGAAGAAGAAAACTTACCTTTAGAAAACAATCAAGACAGGGTTCTTTTATCCCCTTTCACTTTTCATGATAAATTGGATAAACTCATAAAAAACAAAACAAAAATAGCATTGAAGTCGATTTTTATTGATCAATCCGAATTGTCTCCTAGGGTCTATAATTTCCTCAAAAGGTCCAATATCTATACATTATTCGACCTTTTAAATAAGAGTGAAGTAGATCTTCTGAGAATTGAATATTTTCGCCCAGAAGATTTATACGAGGTATTGGACAGTCTAGAAAAACATTTCTCAATTGATTTACCAGCCTCAATTGATTTATCAAAAAAGAAGTTTTAAATCGATTGGATTTTTTTAATTCAAATTAAGATGAAAATAGGTTTTGAATATGTAGCACAATTCATATATTCGAAAGAAATTTCGAATTTTATTGAATAGATGTATCTAGAGAGAATTCGCCTTGCAGCGACTATTCCCTAGATACACACGCCGTGTTATTTCACAATTGAATCAAATTCAATGAATCAAATTAAAAAAGACCTAAAGTTAAGGATTTCTCAATAGGTAATGTTGCACCAATACCCAACCAAAGGGCGACTGCGGTACCAATCAAAAAGACGGTTGTCGCTACTGGACGACGAAATGGGTTTTGGAATTTATTAACATTCTCTAAAAAGGGTACTGTTAATAATCCCGCGGGTACTGAAACCATTAAAAGAACACCCAATAATTTATTGGGCACTGTACGAAGTATTTGAAATACGGGAAAGAAATACCATTCAGGTAATATTTCCAGGGGTGTTGCAAATGGGTCTGCCGGTTCACCAATCATTGATGGTTCGAGAACCGCCAAGCCTACGTTACATGCAATAGTACCTAGAATTACTACCGGAAAAATATATAAAAGATCATTAGGCCACGCGGGTTCTCCATAATAATTATGACCCATACCTTTAGCCAATTTAGCTCTTAATACAGGATCATTCAAATCAGGTTTTTTTGTTATTGGGATAGGTGAATTCTTATAGATCCATCCCCCCAAGGAACCGGACATGATAATTTTTTATCATCCGGCTCGAGCAAGACTCAAAAGAACCAAATGAATCCAGAAAAAATATATGTGTTGGTTATATCTACACATATAGGAATGATTTAATGCAAGAAAAATCGGACTCTTTTTCCGAAATTGCAACTATCCATTACAAAGAATTCGGTTCTAAGTCTAAGGAAATACTCAATACCCAAGTCGGCTTACAAAGTTGATTATGAGATGATCAAGTACTTTCTGGGTCGTCTCAGACTTTCCGATTACTATCNATTAAGATGTTTCTCAACGTTTAATGTGAGACTACCTTTGTTTTGAGGGATTTGAAAATCTCTTGATTTCAAAATTTTTGAAATATAAATTTTTTACTTGCACACTCCTTGAATGGATGTGTTGAAAATATTATAAAGCAATTGTCTAGCTCGCTCCTATGGTGTTGACTCGCGGTGGTGATAAACTTAAATGATCGTGGACGGCGTGGTCGTCAACAATGATAAATGGATTTTAAATGACTAGATTTGAGGAGTCATTTAAAATCCTTCAAAATAATGACTAAAAACGGTGATAAACAGTGGATTTTAAATGACTAGATTTGAGGAGTCATTTAAAATTCTTCAAAATAATGACTAAAAACTATCTAGCATGAACTTGAAATCTTCCAACTTCTATTATCATCCCAACTTGCACGGGGATTTGAACTTATAAATTTAATATTTGTATATTTCAAATCTTTCAATAAATCATTCAATCCAAACGTAGCCTTAGATTTCAAATCTTTCAATTAATAAAAAAAGAATGCGAAAAAACAAGGACTTATTGACCCAAGAAAGGGGTGTAGTCCCTTTCTTGGGTCGAAGATTTCTTGTTGCTTTCTATTTGTTGAAAACGGATTTTTTTTTTTTTCTTTGATGCAGCAATCCCANACGGAATGAGGCGTTGTACGCCTCGAGTTCTGGGAAGAGAGAAAGTATCAGCCACATTTGTTGGTCCTTTCGTGATTCTCGACCGAGTTGGCATCTTAGCCTGACGGTTGACCCCATCACCGGAGCTTGCAAGAGTGCACGACCTGTTCAGTGCCTCATAGAGAGAGGACAGGTGCGCGACTCTAGGCACGAGGCGATCTTTGACGAGCTGCATGTGGGCAGAACCTTACCTCTGATGAGGTACCGGTGACCTACTGGATTGACGAATCCAGCAGGGAGAGTCCGGAAGTTTATAGCTACACTTCAGAAAACCGAAGGCAAGAGCAACTCGAACTCCTAGGCTGCAGTAGCTTCAGTTTCTATTTTTTGAACTCCTCAGAAAGGAAGGCTGGCAATTTGATGACCCACCCCCGATTCTTTTTTTATCTTTCTTGAATGGTACTCGTCAAAGTCCGGCGGGGTAACCGTGGCTAGTGCGGTGTGACTTGGTAGAGTGGGGAGATTCGGACCGAGTATCCGAGTTTAGTGGTTTGAGTTTCTCTCTTGTGTCAGTTGTCCTGTTGGGATGATTTTTCTTAAATTTCCGGGGACGGAAATCGTTTAAGGAGGGTAGACTGTAATGCCCCATTTATTTGTGATTTATTTGTAGTAATTATTATTATTATTATTATTATTATTATTATTATNTTGATGACCCACCCCCGATTCTTTTTTTATCTTTCTTGAATGGAATGGAAAGATAAGGGTCAATTTGATTGTGGAGCCGTATGCAATGCGCAAAAGACGATGCACGTACGGTTATTCTATCTTATTTTACTTTAGTTTTAAGTTTTATTAGTTTTAAGTTTTATTTTATAGTTATTTTGTTTGAAAAATTTGTTTCCCAGACAGAGAATCCTTCTATTATCAGGGTAATGATCCATGAACCCGCTTGTAGTTTATTTTTGGGGAAGGCGGCGGAGGTATTCATCGACGTTAAAGAAATGAAAACGCTATTTAACGATATTGTAGACTTATATGCACAAAAAACGGGTCTATCCAGCGATGATATTTTAAAAGAGATGCAAAAAGATACTTTTATGACAGCAACAGAAGCCAAAATGAAAGGATTTGTTGACCTTATAGGAAGTCGCGGAACGTTCTGGTCCATAAGAAACCTACCGGCGGAAGGAAGATGTCCTTTCTTAAATAATAAGAAAGGAGAGTTTATCTTAGAATAAGAAATACAAAAGAAATCAAAAGGAAGCTATAAGTAATGCAACAAGGAGGAAATAACTAAGGAGGAGGGGGAAATAAGGAGGAGGAGGAAATAAGGAGGAGGAGGAAATAAGGAGGAGAGGGAGTAGGAAATAAGGAGGAGAAGGAGTAGGAAATAAGGAGGAGAAGGAGTAGGAAATAAGGAGGAGAGGGGGTAGGAAAGAAATAAGGAGGAGAAGGAGTAGGAAAGAAATAAGGAGGAGAAGGAGTAGGAAATAAGGAGGAGAAGGAGTAGGAAATAAGGAGGAGGGGGGGAAATAACAAAGGAGGCTCTTATGATTTTGCAATCTTTGTTTAGTTTTCGTTCAGTTTGAATAAATTATATATATAAATAAATTATAGATATAAATAGATATAAATAGTATTTCTATTTTTTTCTTACATAAAACAAAGA